GTGTGTGTGTGTGTGTGTGTGTGTGTGTGTGTGTGTGTGTGTGTGTGCGCGTGCTTACATGCTTGTGTCTGTGGTAGAGTGAAGTCAGGGTCGCTAGCATGTATGTATATTGTTTCTGTGTTAATGTCTTATTGCTTCAGCTGCAAAGTTTAATCCACATTGTTAAAGAGCATAACTTGTAATGAGGCGTACATTTAATAACAGATCCGTTTAAAGAGCTAACCCAGCAAAAGTCAAACTACAGGGAATAGGTCTTGAGTTTACGCTGAGGTGAAACAACATATATGCATAATGTCCAAAAACAGAGCAGTTTAAATATGTGTAGACTAATCTTCTCTGCTTACCATATCTGCTCATTGCATTCACACTGCTATGCCTCCCATTCTCTCAAAGACACCAAGCCGTCTCGGTTGTCTCGTTATTTGGATGATTTTAATTGAAATCAAATCAACAACAATCAAACTTTTTAATCCCGCAGACATGGACTATTCCATTAATGGAGGCTGCTTTTAAAAGATGTCAAATCTGGATGTAGTGAGGAATTATTTAGATCTTTAATCTTTTGGATGTATATGCTGCTGAAGCCACAGTATACAGACCTTAATGTACACACTTTAGTTTACATACACACACACACACACACGCGCTCAGACACACACTCACTCGGCTGTTTGCGAAGCATTCAGCTATAACAGATGCACCTTGACTGCTGCTTGACTTGCTGAATGAGGAAATCCATTCACTGTGAAATTCCAGGGTTATGGAAGATTTTCCCTGATAAAACTGCAGCAGCAATTCAAAACAGATTCAGGCGAAGATACCATTCATACTAAACTCAAGGGATTACATCGCCACTTTAATCTTGTTTCGTGACCGGTGAGTAAACGGTGGTATGTGCAAAGCAGGGATTGTTAGTGGCAGGACGATAGCTGATTAAAGAACCCTTAATCCAGAAACTACAGCACCAATAATACATTTTACAAGGTTATGTAAATGTTTGAGTGTAGATTACAAACTGAAATGCTGTGTAACCACAGCTCACAGAATCTCTGTATGCCAAAACATAATATTGTCATGTATAAAAGTTCCGTGTGCTTTCCAGTATGTTAAGCGTAAGCTGGGTCACTGGATAAACAAGCAGAGTCTAGCTTAACGTTCACCGTGAGAGAGGCGGAGATAGCTGTGTTGTTCTCTGGGACTAAACATTAACAGGATTTGTGCGGTGTTACAAATAATCTACAGGTATTCCTAGATATCAGAAGGTTGCATTTGTTTTGCGTGAGCATTTGCAACATGAATGTCATTGCTTTTGTTAAGAGGGTCATTTCCTAGAAATCAGGTGTCAGTGTGGACTTTATTAAGGCTCCCGGTGACCATGTTGATTTTGCAGCTCTGACTCATCCGGTCATCGCTTTCAGTACATTGGAGTTTAATGAAATGTACAACATCAAAGTGTTGAGATCCTCCCAGCATGCATTATGTAGCTATCCCTGCGTTTGCAGGCCCGAAATATGTCAGAATTCTTTGCTGCAGGGTAGGGAGGATAGCCAGGATAGGATTTCTATTCCACAGTTGTGTAAATATGGGATGTTCTGATACATATTGTATTTGTGTTTAGAACATATATTGTGGGTTTGTGATGCCAAACAGCCAGTGAATATTTCAGTAAGTAGGGCTACTAATGCAGCTGTATCTTTCAAAACTTTCCTAATTCTACGGGACTCCCACAGACCCGTCGAATAGTCTTAGTGATACCAATAAAACAATAATAACTATTATAAAGGCATCCCCAACATAGCCAACGTAATAGTGCGGTAATGTTTGAATTGATTCATTTGAATTAGGAAGAAAAGATGATTAAAAGACTAAATCGGCTGATGTCATGAAAATAAATGTCACAGCTCTGCTTGTCAGCGGCTCAGCTGTGCTGTGACATCAGCACAGCTGAGTTCCTAAAATATGATCAAACAGATAAACGAAGCACTAGAGCAGACATTAGTATCACCTCCTGATCTCATTCTGGTTAATTGTGTAAGAAGGGATTTCCACTTCATGTCTAGTGTTCATGTATGTTGTAAACGGACTGTCAGCAAGAATGGTCTGCCAGGAACAAGTCTCGGACTCTTGAGTATAAAGTTTTCACATCTTTAAAGCTTTCTGATAATATTTAGTTCTAGGTAAATCAAAACATGATGGAAATGTAGATTCATAGACTGGAAACGTTCTTATGGATCCGGTCTATTCTCAGCTGCAGGGTTGTACGGTAATTATGACATGCACGCTATTATGACGGGCCCTCGTGCTCTTTCTGAGCCAAAAGCCTCTCAGTAAGCCAACTATTGATTCATATTCAATTCCTGATCATAACATTAATTTAAAAATGTATCTGACCTCTTCTGAAGGCATAGCTTTGACATGCGTCTCAGTCTTTTACTTCTTGTTTGAGGCCTAGTTTCCAGACCTCTGTGTCTGTCCTGCTTTCAGTGCCGTAACCTTGTTTTCTGGCCTTTCGCTGACCCCTTTTAAAACGCTGAACCCGGGGCCCACTGACTCCTATTTGGATTTGCTTTCAACTACATCAATATGAAAGATCCCTTACATGCTGCTTGTCAAAACTTGGCCTACCCTCCGTCCTGTTTTGACCCCGCTCTAACAGCAACGTGTGTGTGTGTGTGTGTGTGTGTGTGTGTGTGTGTGTGTGTGCGTGTGTGCGCGCCTTTGCTTTTGTGTAAAATAATAAGCGTGAGAGAGGCCGAGAAACAGGATGAGAAAATACAATATAAAAGACAGTGTGACAGATTCTGTGTTTTTTCATCAGCAGACAGAAAAGATGAAATGTTGGCTTTTATTTTCTTCATTTTCTCCCCTCTTTGTAGTCTCAGCCTTATGGGCTTCAATAAACCTATAACCAAATGCAGAGTAAGGCAATGGCATGGCTGAGAAATATGCTAAATGGCCAGTATATATCAGATTAAATCCCCAAGTTAGCATTCTGTCAATTCTCTATTGAGGCATCAAAGGCTGTCTGGGTTTGGATTTTTGTTGGTAAGATCCACAAAAAAGATCACGGTGTGCTTTAAGAGTCCTTTAGAGAGTGTGTGTGTGTGTGTGTGTTAACTCATTTACCCCCAGACAGCCATGCAAAACAGCATTCAAGACCAGTATATGGTGAGAAAGAGTCCCTACATTTTTGCTCAGTGGAGCTGAACCATGACCATCCTGTCCTGAATACACACACACACACACAACACACTCTTAACGCTGTGCTGTACCATCCCAGCGTCCCAGTGCTGTTTGGGTGACTGGGTAGGGATCAGTCACAGTCTGGTAGCTGGACCCCCACACGTTGTGTGATGATGGCGGGGTTTGCTATGTGATGGGAACAAATGGGGGATGCGGTGGTTACTCTATTTTTTTTATTTCAAAAGCAGGTTAGACCCATTACGCTCCAAAATCTCTTTTCCGATCCAACCAAGATGGCTGGAACACAAGACAATACAAAGACGGAACAATGCAATGTAATGACTGGATGCGTTTGGGTTAGTTGGTATAGAAGAGCGGTTGGGGCTGATGGTGGACAGACACATATGCTGACGTTGAACTTCCAATTAGATCCAGTTTAGTCTGAATGTAGACACCAGAGAGGAACACTAATAACTTTAAATCATGGATTATATATTTCCAAACTACCCAACTGAGCCCTTATTTTGAAGAATCGAGTCGTCGGAGTGGAATTCTACCCCAAGCTTTATTCTCACAGTGGTCAATTCTCTTCCAACTGCTCATTAAGTCTTGTAAGTAAAGTTGTTTTAAATGTACGACTTTAGAAATTATTTTAATTTGAGCTCTAAAAAATGAAAATGTAGACAAATTTGAGATTTGCATTGAAAAAATGGTTCGTTCAGGAATGTCTTTTAAGCAGTTTGTTGCAAAGAGACACAAATCTAACTTAAAATTCATCTCAAACCTTCTAAATGCAATTGAAAGTAGCTGTTATTTACAATGCTATAGGTTTGTTTTATTTATTTTGTGGTAACGATTGTCGATAAAGTTAGGACTGGGCAATACATCTTTTACGACACCGCTTTTATTACAGCATCAGAAGAAGTACACAGTGCGTGCTGCTCCCACTCCTCAATCAGATATGTTAAGAAACACAACAGCTTTATTGTGATTTCTTTGTTCTTATTGAACAGCTTTGTTGTCACAGGAAGTCTGATGGAAATACTGTAGAAAGGTCAAATGAGGACATTAAATGGTATCTTATACTGCTGATCCTGTGTTCTCTGATACACACCTGGCCATGTTCACACGCTGTTTGTGGGACGTAGCAGTGTTTTCACACAGGCATGTGTCGAAAGAGTACTTCAACTCTTTGATTGTATTTGTTGTACTTTCTGAAGCCTATTTAAACGTACCTGTAGCATTCCAAATGGGAAACTTGTCAAAAGAATGATATAAGATAAACATGTTCAGATAATGTAATGATAAACATGCTTCCAGCCCACGTGTAGAATTTTGGATCAAGCATGTGAGACTACCTTTAGAAGTCCTAAATGATCACATGATCTGGTAGATAAAATGAGATTCAGCAAACATTGTGGGCAAAGCAGCCTCTTTCTTCCTTGTATGCTCGTACCACAGCTTGGACCACAGCAGCTCTGCTTTAGTTTTGTTCTTCAGGTCTGTGTTTGAAATGGTCCCACCTAATGTTCTTAACTTTGTGACCAATCATTGAGGAACTCAGGTTCATGATCTATAACATAAAATAACATTCTCTTAAAAAAAATAAACTAATGTATGTACTAGGGGTGTAACCACATTTAAATGTCATTTAGAGGATGTTTAGCTCCTGTAACAAAGTTCCCAGTGGGGTGACAAAATATTCATTTTTGTCTTGCTTCTCCCTCCCACAGCAAGACAATATCGACCGGTCCTCCAATCACAGGCAAGCTGACATCATTGGTCCGAGCTTCCAGCAATCAGCCAATCGGAGTTCT